AGCAGAGAGAGAGAGAGGTGGCTGCCATCAGGCTGAGACAAGCATGAAACTGGCTAATGTCATTCATTTAGAGAGCAGAGGGGTGAGATCTAACTGTGATCCAGTTCCCATGCTCGCCCAGGCCTCTGATATAAACACCCACACAGACAGTGCAATGATGACTGTTTCACAGATGAGAAAAGCCAAGGTCAGGGAGAGCGGCTGCTCTGCGAGCCAGAGCCTCTGCTAGCAGGGGCTCAACGCCACTCTCACCTCCAAACTCACTGTGTCTCCACAGCCAAGATTTGGGGAACAAAAAGAAGGGGGAATTATTCTCCACAGGAAAAGACAGTGAAGCCAGTTTCACAACATCCTAGGAGTGAGAAGCATAGGTCAGTGCACACAGAGCTGCCTTCAGATCCTAGTCTCTCCTCGGGAGCTGGGGACTCCGGCAATTCCTCTGGATCTTGGTTTGTTCATACGTACAGAGACAGAGCTACTTCATAGCTTTTGGGAGCATTCTACAAGATAACATATAAGTTGGGTGTGGTGGCACACACTGTAAATTAGGCGGCAGGAGGATCATTAATTTGAGTCCCATCTGGGCAATTTAGCAAGACCCTGTCCCCAAATAAATAATAAAAAAGATAGAAAGGGCCGGGAATGTAGCTTTGTGGGAGAATATCCTGGGCTCAATATCCTATACCAGTGATGGTGAACCTTTTAGAGACTGAGTGTCCAAACGCAACCCCAGACCCATCTCATCTATCACAGTGTACCTACACTGCAAATAAACCTGAATGCTTGGCTGCTGGGGTGATGCTGGAGTGACTTGGCTAGTGTGCCAACAGACAGGGCTCTGTGTGCCTGCTGCAGCACACGTGCCATAGGTTCACGCCCACTGCCCTACGCTGAAAACATAGAAAGGAAAAAAAGAAGCACGCAGATGCTCAGCACAGCGCCCACAACATCTCAGTTGCCAGTCAGGCACGCTCCAGCAGAGGGCTCACAAGCCACGGGTCAGTGACCGTGGGAAACAGGAGGTGGAAGAAGGCAGGATGGGTTGATTGCCATTGAAAGGAATTTGGGGTTTATCCACAGGCCTGGGGTGGGCATAGGAGGAAGGCGTGGTCCCAGATGAGTGCAAGGGAAGAGTGGGTGGAGACAGCCAAGGTGAGGGAAGGGCTCGAGTGGCAGCAGGTGGCCATGCAGGTGACAAGCAGAAGGGAAGAGGAGGAACCTGGGGATTAGGCCATGCTCTTTCTGTAGGTGGAGGAAGGAGTTGGAAGTCAGGGAATGAGGGGGCAGCAGGTAGGCAGCCCATCCCCAGCTCACACAGCGAGCCACTTCTGTTTGCAGTTGGAGAAGGTTCTGAAGGCCATGCATTTGCTTAATTCCACAGTCTCCAATCAAAATACCCTGTCCTGGGCTCAGATTCCCAAGAACACTTATCCCCTGCTGCATGTAGGAGATATTTGAAAAATAATAGCAATCATAATATTAGTCTAAAAGCAGCACCTCAGTCTATGCTCCAGATCAGCATGGGAAATTTTTAAGTAAAGCAAACCAGGAAGGCTTTTGTGTTTTGCCAAGACTAAGCTTTCCTCCTGGAGCTACAAGCTACTCTTTACTTCCAGATCCAAAATATAAATCTTAAAACTGGTACTCTGGTTGGGCATTCTTCAAATGTTTGTTCACAATGATAGATCTTCTTTACCTAAAAATGGCTCCAAAAACAGGGTCGATCTGGTCATAGATGGGCTGGGTGATGGCTTCATTCAGGTCGATTCTGGCCAAAGTCCTGGAGGCGTAGATGCCATTTTTCAAGCAAACAGCTTTCAGAGTCTGGTGAAAACCTTGGTTTCCTCTACTTCTCTAGACAATTAAACCGTGAGTTAGCAGAGTTGGGAGGCACTAACTAGAAAGACACAGGATCAGAACTTCATTGCCTCTGGCCAAAGGCCATTGCTGAGAATCAAAGGAAGAAATAGATATGTAAGAGCCCTTTAATCTGCCACTAATCTCGGCAGGGAAGATGGTGGTCACACCTCCACGTGGGCTGGGAGCCCCTCCCTGGGCTTCCACAGTGGCCTGGGCTCATGGATCCTAACCCTCCCTGTGCTACTTCTCCTTCATCAGTTTACTTATTTGTCAAGCTCTGCTACTAGACCACTGGCTTGCCAAGGTCAGAAATAATATCCCATCCTTCCTGAGCCACAAACACTCGTTAAATGAGCAAGTATGGGATGAAGAAAGAAGTGAAATGTGTTATGACTCAACAGTAAACCTATGTCTTGAGCTCTCTAAGGATAGCCCCAAGTTTTGTATGCTTTTTGCTTACAGTGGTGCACAACTGCTACACATTGAAGCACACTTTGATTTTATTGTCTTAGCAGTATTTTTTGCCCCGGGAAATAAAGTCACAAACTAGAGGAAAAATATTATAGTCAGAGCTACAAGAGATATTAATCAATTTTAGACAGAGAGTGACCATTACCGAGAATAAAAATGTTTGTGAAATTTTTAATCAAAAATTAAAATTTTAATTTAAATTAAAAAATTAAATTTTTTAAAATGTGGGCTCTTTAACAGTGATATATGTTTTAAGGGAACCTGTGTTAAGTGAATAGCTGCATCGCATGATACAACTTGTACATTTCTCTCTCTCTCTCGCTCACTTTATGTAATGTTGTAACATGGGCACACCTCAAAATTGTGGTAAATATATTTCGAAAAGTCATTTTAAGAGCCTAATCTAATGCGTCATCTAGAAAAATAATTTATTTTACCATTCTCTTCTTTTTAGACCTTTAGGTTACTTTACCGTGTTGCCTCACCCACTCAGAGGTGGGGCTTTGGGAGGTGACTGGATCATGGGGATGTGATACTCATCAGTTCATTGGTCTGCTGTGGAGTTTGTAGGTCAATGCGATGTTGGAGGTGAAGCCCGGTGGGAGGCGGTGACTCACTGCGAGTGTGGCCCAGAAGGATTTATCGCCCACCCTCTTCTCCTCTCTATTTCTCTGCTTCTGGATGTCATACCACGAGCTGTTCCTCCTCTGCCGTGCCACCCTGCCTTGGAGCCAGCCACTATGAACTAAAACCTGCACAGACTGTGAGCTAAAATAAATCCTTAGAGTCGTGGTATTATGTCTCTGCGACAGAGAGGTAGCTAGGGCAGCGCAGGGGCAATGTTAGCACATGAATGTCAACCCATCTTTCTGATGGGTTGTTTGTGAGATAGGCACACTCTGCGTATACTGTAGTCACAGAGAAAAAATAAAGGGTGGCTGGGAGAGGGGACTGTCATAGGGGGGCTCTGCAGGCGGCTGACATTCCTCCTTCCACAAGCAAACTATCTCAAGGGCATCTCTTCTCTCTGCTTTGTCTTCTCTACCCTCGTGCAGCCCTTCACTTTTGGGGTCTGCTTCTTCTACCATAGGAAGAAGGGGTCCCTTTGCTATCTGTTGGGACAAAACAAAATCTCCCACGCGTGGTGGTCCGTGGCTCAAAACCAGTGACTGTTTATTAGGCTCAGACTCTGTGGACTGGGACAGGGGCTGGCTGGGCGGGCCCAGGACATCTCATGTGGTTCGGCCAAGTGTGGCTGGAGGATCTGCTCCCCGTGATCGTGGCTGGCAAGGCAGTGCTGGCGTTGCAACGCAGGTGGGGGGCCCCAGCCCCTCTCCACACAGCCTCTCCCTGCAGCAGCTTGACTTCAGCACACCAAGCCTGGCTCCCCCTGAGCAGGTGCCCCAAGGGACCACCGTGGAGGCTTCAGTTGTCCCCCAATGACCTAGCTCAGAAGCCACACACTGTCCGCTCTGCAGCTCTCTCCTGGTCACAGAGACAGTGTGGAGGGAAAACCCACAAGGGAAAATCCCAGGACCCTGGGTAGGCAGGTCATCCTGCAGGCTGGCCCACACGGCCACCAGTGAACACCACCAGTGGCCAAACCCAGTTGTCACTTCCCCTGACCCCTCAGGAGCATCTCACGATTTCCTTCTTAACAAATCTTCCTGCCTGAGTTTTCATATTGGAAATGAAATTCACACACAACAGTAAGATCGAGCCCCCTGTAGACTCTCCACTGGGTTTCGTCCTCAGAATGCTGGTCCCTCCCTCCATTCCTCTGACTACCAAATGGACCTGACCTTTCACTGGTGCTTGGCCTAAGTAAAAATACAGGTGCTGCCACTCAGCATTGTTGTGAGGGTTGAATAAGGAAATGTTTAGTGTCAACACCGGAGTGGATGGCACCCTCCAGCACCCCTTACTTTCAGTGGGTGTTCGGAACGGACTTGTGTCCCCCAAAGTTTACGTGTTGGAGCCCTAACCCCCAAGGTGACTGTATTTGGAAATGAGACCTCTTAGGCAATAACTAAGGTTATGTAAGGTCACAAGGGGGCCCTGATTCTCTAGGACCGGTATCCTCATGGGAAGAGATCGGGGAGTAGGAAAACATGTGAGGGTACAGTGAGAAGGCCGCCATCCATAAGCCATGGAGAGAGGCTGAGACCGGCCATGCTGAGGCGTGCTCCTGGGCTTCCAGCCCCCAAACTGTGAGAAAGTAAGCTGGTCATGTAAGCCACTTCTTTTTTCTCCTCTGAGTCTTAGATTAAGTCGTGCAATTGTATTTGCATCTCTCAGAAATCCTGTACGAGTGATTAGGAAACAAAACAATTTGCACACCAAGGGAACAGTTACAAGATGCTCTTTCCTTGTGTCAACGAATGACATTGACACTGGAGACACAAGATGAGTGGGGCAAGCACTTAGCACTTCTGTTCTACCGGAGAAGAGAAAACCAAGAGATTCCAATGGGCTTAAGGCCCGAGATGATCCAGTGCCTGGCCCAAGGCACCACCGGACATCTGCTGAGGGTGGTGCTTTCCCTGGGACCCTAAATCCCAGCTCTGCTTCTTCTGAGCCATGGCTTTGCTTTGGCCCCCAAGGTGCACAGGTGAACACCACCGCCCTCCTGTGCTTCTGTGCACACAATCTCCTAGAAAGCAAGGGAAGAGTGAAACAGGAGCTCGGGGAGTGGGCTGTCTTCAGAGGGTTCCAGGGACGGGTCACTCACCACGAGGCGCGCCCCGAGGAGGCGTCGGTAGGAAGCCCTGGCCGCCAGGACCCCTTCCTGCAGAGGCCGCTCCACGTGTGCGAAGCACTGCTCCACGGCCCCCTCCAGCAGCTCCACCCTGTCCTCCACGAATCTCCGCAGGCCGCTCGCGTGCAAGGGGTCACTCTAGGGATGAGGGCCAGAGGAGCATCAGGCCAGACCCCCAAAGGCCTGCTCCTCAATTTCTGCTTCCTTTTTACACTTGCTGCCAACGTGAGACCTGGCTTGAGGTTATCACCTAAATCAATCTGTCCTTATTGTCCCCAGAAGGTGGCCCTCCAGGAGCCAATCTCCTTAGGCTGCCGGGCACTGCAGAAGAGCACGATGGACGCCCACTGCCACTTGCTTTGGGTGCAAATTCCACAGGGCTGGGTGGGGAAGTAGTATCCAAATGAACACGCCGCTGGTTATTAGAACAGATGTCTGAGCTGATAAACACTTAATGAGCTTTGGCTTTGCGTAAAGCAGTTTGGGAGGATAATGTTTCTCAGACTTTACCGTGCAAACAAATCACCTGGGGAACTGGGAATCCAAAGAGTGGGGATTCTACCCTTGTAGCCAGCTCCCCAGGACAGTTGAACTCCTAGGCCTTGACCAAACTTTGAGAAGCAAGGCTACGGGGCCACAAAAATAAGGCCCTGGTCTACATATACAGTCACGCATCACTGGCCAGGTTTCAGTCAGTGATGGGAGGCATAGCAGCAGCGGTCAAGTGAGAGCCTGAGCGAGTGATAGGCTGCACCGTGGAGGTCGTGGTACGACAATGGCACCGGCCAACGGTGATCTCAGAACATGGCCCTATGGAGAAGCAACGCACAGGGAGTAACAGCCAAGGACGGTGTTGGCCCCCAGCTTCCAAGGGGCACCCGTAGGACTGAGAGAACCTTTCTGGACTCCACTGAACCCTCAAGCTGCCTCCGCTGTGCTGTTGTGCTCTGTTTGCTTGTCCTCCCAGGTAGCCATCCCCGCACTTGCCTCCATTTCCCAACCACCTGTCCCTCCGTGCCCCTGGGCCTCCACACTGCAGTTCCCCTTCCCACCCTCCAAGGCAAAGCTGCAAAGTCACCCCTGGGGTGCTTTCCTGAGTCCCCAGGGCATCCCGCATCCCTGTGATTTGGCTTTGCCCTATCAACAAGGTCACTCTCACTCCACCTGTCTCCTTCCCTGTCTCAGCTGTGGGGGGCGAGGCCTGCACTCCGTGGCTGAGAGACTGCTAGGTAATGCTGTGTTTAAGTCCTAGTCCGGACAGACAGACAGAAAGCTCTGGGATGGGTGCAGGACCTCACGGGTGACTTCACTGCCCTGCTTCGCAACTGGGCTGAACGATGCTGAAAAGAACCTTGACCTCTACCACCCTGAGAGCCGCAGAGAGGAGGAGTTCCAGAGTCCATGGAGACTATTTTAACTCAGGAATGCCATGGGCAGTTTCCTAGTTTTCCCCCAGTGAGAATTTTGCAAGCCATGCTTTTCTCCCACTTGAATTTCCTTTACATTATTTTGGCTTCACGGTGTCTCTGGTGGTCAACATGAAGAAAGAGAGAGATCGTGGAAAGAAAAATCTACGGGCAAGACTCTCCTATGTCTCTCTGTAAATCCCTGTTGAATAGACAAAAAGAATGATAACAAAACAGAGATTTTAATATAACAGAATAATAAGAAGGAGAAAGTTAGCCTAGTGTGGTAAGTGCACACCTGTAATTACAGCACTTTGGGAGGCTGAGGCAGGAGAACCCATCAAAAGTTTGAGCCCAGCCTGGGAAACTTAGCAACTTAGCAAAAGCCTGTTTCAAAATTAAAAATGAAAAAATACTAGGCAGTGCAAAGGTCCTGTGTTTGATCACCAGCACCACAGAAAGGGGGATGGGGGATGGCATTCAAATGAAGAAATGCAGGGCTCATTTGACACTGAGATGCCATGATTGATGACTGATTATTTAAGATCACTGACTATCCAAACCCTCAAGTTTTGGCTTCCATCACAATCTTGAAAAAAAAAACATTAATCACTTACATGTTTAAATTTGATTTTTCAGAATTCAAAGGCACTGACAACACTCCTGTCTTCCAACTTTCCATCAAAGGACTAAGACCCATATTGCAGGCCAAGGAATTTTGAGGAAAGATGCCAGCCACTCCCTCAGGAGCTGTCACAGCAGTGCCAATCACTGACCCCCTCCTCTGTGTGGCCCGTGGGCTGGCTGTGGCTGCCGTGATGGGACTGAGCCCCTAGGCACCTGTGCGTCTGACTTAGTAAAAGAGAGCACGTGGGGTGCAAAGGCACTTCCAGCTTTGAAAAATGCCTTGTCCTTGGGTTTGTGAAATCCACCAGCCACACACAGCCCACATCTGATTCATTTTCCATCTGCGTTTCCAAAAGCAATCTTGTGTTGGGCAGAGAGGCAAATTTCACCCCGAAGAATTTTTTCAGGAAGTTAGAAGGTCAAACCTCCCCAACTATTTCAGAGGACAAAAGTCAAATTAGAGAGCTCAGATTCCAGGCGTTTCGTTTTGTTTTTGTCTCACACAACTAGTCCATAACAAGGCATACAATGAAAAAGATGGTGAATTTTGCTCTCCGGGACTATTTAGACAGAAATTTTTGAGGAAGGCATTTGGCCAAACTGCAAAGTTCATCCAGCCAACATTGCTTACTTTAACGTGGAAATCAGATCTGCAGTATCTGCCTCTCCTCATTAACCCTCTGGCTCTTCCCAGCTCCCCATCCCCATTCTGGGACCAGGCCCTTGACCTCCCACAGGGCCTATTGCTGAACTTTCTCTGCCCTCCCTTCTCCCAGCACAACAAGAAGTCAGACAGCTGGACGGCACAACTCTACTGGGTGAAAGCAAGTGTGGAAATAAAGATCAACCAAGTGACACAGCAAAGGGAGTTGTTCAGAGCTTGCCATGGGGTGGGGTGGGGGGACCTGGACTTGCATTTGGCAAAAACTCAAAGACAGGCAGAGAAGTGAGAAAGCTTTAGAATGGAAAAAGGCACCAGGGGCACTGAGTGGGGGCTGTTGGCCTGAGGCACCCAGGAGCCCGGCTACCTGCAAGCAGGGCATCTCTTCTGATTGCTCTCTTGGCTGGTTTTAAATTAGAAGCAGGAGCAAAGATAAGGGAAGCTGTTAATCCAGAACTGGCCATTTGGAGCTGACTGCCACAGAAGTCACGGTGCCACTTCCTGGACTGTTGCTGGACATGGGCAATCTGAGCTGAGTCTGACTTGGCTTCCTGGGCCAGGAATTAGAGGTGAGGGGGTGGTTTGCTGAGTAGGTTGAACAGGACCACAGTTCTGTTTTATATATGGTCTGGCTGTTTTCTGTGTATTTTCTGTTACAAACAAAGCAGTTGGTGATTGATCAGAATGACTGGCTTTTCTCCATAACCCTCCCAAGCTTCTTTTCAACAGATTATCCCTGTTTCATTAGGTTTTTTTGGTTAAGTCATCCAGCAAAGAGATAAATTTGTCCGTTCCTAGGAGGAATGTAATTTTAGCTGGTCATTCAAAAGGTTTGCTTTCTAGACACTGAAGATAAACATGGAAACTTGGTGAAAATTCCGCTCCATTTTCCACCTCTCATACTTTTCTACTAAAGCTGTCACTCTGAGCTGGAGACTTTGAGGGAAAGCCATGGACAGATGAAGTGTTTTTAGAATGTGGGCATAAATGCACCTCTCCAAGATAACACAGAACCATCTGCATCCCACGTAAACCATAGCTTACATTCTGTCTTGCCCGGGTCTCAGGAAAGACCGAAAGTAGCCACAGTTTTGGAGTTGTTCCTCTTGGCCCATCTGTCCAGGTAAAATGTCTTTACATTTTTATTTTATAAATAAAGATAAATCTTTTATCTACATGTTACAGTTTTAACCCTTTCATTATCTTTCTGTCCTCTTAGAGTCTCTGAGACTTGTTTCTTATTATGAAAAGAAGAGAACGTTAATCTTGTGACGTAGTAAAGGGTATTCTGCCCAGGTGGGGATGGGGAGAAAGGACAGGCCAGAGTCGTCATTACCAGCAGGTTTTCCACAGAGTTGAAACTGTCCGTGAGGAGCAATAGGCCGAAGGCTTCGGTGACACACTCGGTCACCACCCTCTTCTTCTTGTCCAACAGCCTTTTCCTGATGTACTCTCTTAATTTGGGGATTTCTGGAATTCACAGGCAAGGCGAACAATTTTAAAAGCCAGCAGTTTGTAACTAATAGAATTCATTAAGTCAAAAGACTAAGTCTGCGGTCTGGAAGAACTATAGCCAAGGGCCCGTGTGGGCTGGCTGCCACTAAACCAGCTTTCTGAAGGACACTTTCTTCATGTCTAGGATCGACAACAAAGTATAACAGATCAGCAGGGCTGGATATTAATTTTATTTAATTGTCCAAAACAAAATTCATAGAAAAGTACAGACTGATTTTTTTTGATGGACACTTTCCTTTGGATTGGTTCACACTGCAGAGTTGAAGCAAAGGTGCTTATCTCTAGTCTCAGCTCTTGGTCCCTCCTAGATGTTTCTATCTTTGTCAAGTAGCATAGAGCAGAACTTACCTTTGTGCTAACCTTTGTTAGTGTTGATGACAGATGTCACCTACACTTTTCCCATTATTTCTGTGCACGCAAGGTTTTAAGACTATTATTACTGTTTATACCTCACTAATTGTGCCTCTGAGACTCTGGTACCAGCAGTTTCCCCGATTCTGGGAACATGTCACACCATCTGCTTCTTAAATTCCATTCACATACACCTGTGCACCCAGGAAACTGTGTGGGCATTGTAAGCCACCTCAGGCTCAGATCAGAGTCCAGCCTGGATCCGGCAGAGCCCACGCCACCTCGGGCCTCTCTGATCTTCTGTATCCGAGCCAGCGCCATTTTACCTCGCCTGCCTTTTCCTTTCACTTTTGCACACAGGTAGTATTTGCTCCTGATCTAGAAGTTAAGTTCTGTGAAGAAAGTGGTTGTGCCTTCCCTCTACTTTTTCTGCCTCAAATGCTAAGCACATGAGACACTCAGAAACTACATCTGATGTCCACAACTGAGCAGGTGAGGACTCTCAAGCTACATACTAAGGACATTACAAGTGGATTCCTTGACATTTGCCAACCCATGGTAAGATTTGGAAGAAAGATGAATAGAGACAAAATGTGGTCCTAGGCTCCCCAAGCTCGGGGAGAGAGAGAGAGAGAGAGAGAGAGGGAGAGAAATATCATAGTACGTATGATTGAAAAATATGGTATTTTAAATTTTTGAATTATTATAATAAAAGATATTTTCATGAACCCGGATTCCTTGACATTTGCCAACCCATGGTAAGATTTGGAAGAAAGATGAATAGAGACAAAATGTGGTCCTAGGCTCCCCAAGCTCGGGGAGAGAGAGAGAGAGAGAGAGAGAGGGAGAGAAATATCATAGTACGTATGATTGAAAAATATGGTATTTTAAATTTTTGAATTATTATAATAAAAGATATTTTCATGAACCCCCCCTCCAAAAAAATGGCCCCTCACTTGTAACACACTTATCCCACCTTTTTTTTTTTTTTGTACCAGGGATCAAACTCAGGACCTTGTGTTTGAGGCAGGTGCTGCTAAGCACATGAGACACTCAGAAACTACATCTGATGTCCACAACTGAGCAGGTGAGGACTCTCAAGCTACATACTAAGGACATTACAAGTGGATTCCTTGACATTTGCCAACCCATGGTAAGATTTGGAAGAAAGATGAATAGAGACAAAATGTGGTCCTAGGCTCCCCAAGCTCGGGGAGAGAGAGAGAGAGAGAGAGAGAGGGAGAGAAATATCATAGTACGTATGATTGAAAAATATGGTATTTTAAATTTTTGAATTATTATAATAAAAGATATTTTCATGAACCCCCCCTCCAAAAAAATGGCCCCTCACTTGTAACACACTTATCCCCCCTTTTTTTTTTTTTTGTACCAGGGATCAAACTCAGGACCTTGTGTTTGTAAGGCAGGTGCAGCACCACTGAGCTAAATCCCCGGTCCTGTCCCACCATTCTTGCCACTTTCTGAAGCGTTCTAGAAGTCCTCTTTTGTGAGTGTCTTTATTTGTGCTGTTGTGGCTGCCCCGATGACCTGAATTGATTCAAAACATCTCATTTTGACTTCAGAGCAAAGCCAGAAGTCCCACACGGCCCCATCTGGTGAATGAGGTGGATGAAAGACACACGGTCATGTTCTGTTTATTTGTTTGTTTTGTTTTGGGGCACTAGGGATCGACCTCAGGACCCTGTGCCTGCCACTGAGCATGGTGCCACTGAGCTGAATCCCCAGCCCTCATGAGGTTTCAGTGAACAGCAGCATTCACCATATTCTCGACCTCACTTTCTATATGTGTTTGCTAATAGGTACAGAAACTGTGGAAAGCTGGAGAAAAATAGTTCTGCAGCACACAGAGTTCTACAGCAGGCTACTAAAAGCCACTGAGGTAAGGAGCATAAATTACCGGATTCCTCCTCGGAGAGGAGAGCCTGCTGCCAGTACTCGTGGGCACTGACCATGTACACCAGGTCCGAGGCTTCCAGAACCTTGGAGTCAGCCGGCAGTTTTTTCTGAAGTGAGAGGGGAAGAGAACAGGTCAGTCAAGCAAAGCACACACCACGCGGGGCTCTCGAGGGCCTCAGCAAATTCCAACCCATTCTCTTGCGGTTCTTCTGCAGCCCCGGAAGAAAGCATAATTCTAAACGCCTAGTGTTGCCATCTTTTTACGGTCAGTTTTTGTTTGGTTTGGTTTCATTTGGATTTGGCTTTTTTTTTTTTTTAAGTTTTTTTGAGACAAGTTTCACTGGCCTTGAACTCACTGTGTAGCCCAGGCTGGTCTCAAAATCTCAGCCATCCTGCTGCCTCAACCTCCAGTTGCTGAGATTATAGGCATGTGCCAAACCATGCCCAGATAGTAAGATCAATTATGAGGAAACTATTTGGCAGAAACTAGTCTCCTGGAAATTAAAAATAGCAATTCTAGAAGGAAAATGTACAGAGAAAATAGAAGTATATGTCAACAATCCGAGCACAAAAGCACTAGGATCCTTTTATGGACAACATGGGACTGGAGTGTAGCTCAGTGGTAAAGCACATGTTTGGCATGTGTGAGGGCCTGGGTTCAATCCCCAGGACTGAGCCAAAAACAGACGGGTGGCCGTACATTTCTTGCAGAAGCAGGAGCATTTGAAGCCAGCATCCATCCTGAAGCTCATGGTCACACGGCTTCCCAGCCCTGCCTCAGTGACACCACTCTGTAGCTTGACATGGGCAGTGGTGGGAATGTTTACAACACAGGAATTGGCAAATGGCACACATCAGAGGTTTTTATTATTTGTTAAACACAGATTTGGTTTTTAAACACTACCTGTACAACAACATTGGACAAAGTTCTTAAAAAAGTGAAAGTTTCTTAGCCAGGTGGCTACTGTAATACACCTTTTAATGCAGAGTAGCCTTTAAGGATATGATGGTTTTCAATGTCAAGAAATTCAGAATTACTTGAGAAAACCTTTTTCTATGACTAGAAGAATATCATCACTAAGAAGTCATGCTAGAATCATACATAAATATTATTCCATAATCCTTCATTAACCTTTCCCAGAGGAAGTGGGGAGAGAAAAAGGGGGTGAGTTCAGGGAAACAGAAACAGTATAGTTGTCAATCTCTTTCTGATTTAAAAGAGCAAGTGAGTGAGGCCCTGCCCTGTCGGGTCCTGCCAAGAAGCCATACTTTCTACAAGTTGTGAGCCCATGTACTTAAGGTTGGAACAGAGATGCCCAGGTAGTAGACCAGAAGTCCCCAAATTATGGGTTAACTGTGTCTCCCACTCATAGGACCCCCCGTACCTCAGAATGTGACCCCTGTATGGAAATTGGGTCATCACACATGAGGTCATACCGGAATAGGTCATCCAAATCCAACACGATCGGTGTCCTTGTATAGCAAGAGGACATTCGCATACAGAGACACACAGAAAAAGAATGCCATGTGACAGATGGAGTTGCGCTACCACCAGAAGCTAGAGAGAGGCCTGGGGCAGACCCTTCCCTGGCACCTTCAGAGGGTGCAAGGCCTTGCCAACACCTTGACTTTGCACATCTGCCTTCCAAACCTGAGCAAAACTTCTGCTTGTTCTAAGCTGCACAGCTTGGGGCCCTTTGTTCCCGCAGCCCTAGCACTGCATGAGTGGACTTGGTCACCAGAGTCTACACCTCCCTTCCTCTGACGGGTCATGTGCACTGCTGGTGCTGCTCTATTTAATCTCCATTTAAGAAAATTATAGCACGCTTCGGCATTGGAAAAGAAAAACTACTGTTCATCCAAAAGCCCTGGAAAGAGAAAAATCCAGGTGTACATTTGGTATTAATTAAAAACGTGCTCATGGTTCATGGAATGAACAATAGGTTTTCTTGCAGAAAGCAACATCAAGGGCCTCCTGGGACTGGGAAAGAGACGCTCCCATATTTAAATGACACTGGGTGAGGTGTTGACACTGAAATGCGTGCAAAACGATTGCCTATCTTACACCCCACCAGGAAGGCCCTGAGATCAAATCTAGTACAATGTAGGTCAGGGACTTGGAAGAAACTCCCAGAGACAACGGTGGACCACTCTTGCAAGAAATGCTACATCCTAGTACTCTAAAACGTACAGCGAATGACACTAGGAGAAAAGAACTGAAATGAATTATGACAGGCAGGGTGGCCAACACCTGTAATCCCAGCACTCTGGGAGGCTGAAAGAAGAGGACCACGTGTTGGAGCCTAACTCGAACAGTTTAGCAAATGAGCAAGATCCTGTCTCAGAAATAAAGAAGAGCTGGGGATGTAGATCCCAGCCAAGGTCCTAGGTTCAATCCCCAGTACCAGGAAAACAAAGGCAAAAATATGATTTAGTTGAGTTGTATTCTGAATAGAAAAACAATTGCAGAAATACCTTACCCGATATAGTTTACTGTATTTTTACTACTTTTGATGTGCAAGAGTGTATGTGGTTTATAATATCCATAATCTAACACAGCTCTTTTGATAATATAAAATAAAAACTCTAGATAATAAGAAAAGGTTATGCCATAGTTTAACTGGCAGTGGTCTTTTTTTCTTTTTTAAAGAGATGTAAAACAGTGGTACACCTTAAAATTGAAGATATCTTAGATCTTTTGGGAACATGAGACATCTGCTTTCCAAAGGGAAAGGAAGATACCTTACACCGTAAATGTATAAAAATAATTACAAAGGTGATAATGAACCATCCAAATCCATTGTATAAATTATGTTATTCTGAGCTTCAGAAATCATTCACAAGCACAGTAATCTGTGTCTATTACATTTATTTTTACGGATAGTTTAGGGCCAAAGTTCATGACTCGCATTTAAAATGTCTACAAAAAAGTATGATTGAGCTAAAAGATGGTGCAATTTTATGACAGAATCAAACCCGTCAACTCTACCTGCTACAGGAACATTAGTTAAGTAAGAGTTTTAGCCCCCCAATTTCTAGTTGTAAATAAGACTCGTAAATTGAGTTCGATGACTCCTGATTATCCTTGACAGTTTAAATAAGAGTGGTTTCAGTCAGACAAAGTTTCATTTATGCCCAGCTGTCGGTTAGTTCCATAGCCAAGTGAGCTGAGCAAAGCAGGCAATGGCTGATTTGTTCCTACAGTGGGCACAGCGGGAAGTCCTGTGGGACACTGGGGGCTTGGGCCCCCTGTTCCCGTGCTTTCCCTATGGTGACTTGCTATGCTCCTTGTCTCCTGTCTGTCCCCAAGGCTGTTCTGTGAGCACAGAGCCTCCCAGAGCCGGCCACAAGCCAGTGAGGGTTAGGGCGCGTGGCGTAGAGCCACCAGCGCTGGCCTCTGCCCTGCTCTCAGCACACATTAAGAAAGCTGTCTTCGTGATTCCCCCTGGCATGACTATAAATTCCAGATGTCAAAGCTAAGGGAAGTTCTGTCCTACAGATTAAGAAACTGCCAGCGCTCTGGGACAAAGGGGAAGGTTCTGTTAGCTTTATCTGCCAAAAAGACAATGTTAAATCCTACATTTTTCATTTTTTAAAAATGCTAGTGTTGTCTGTCCCTAGTGAAATAATAAAATACGAAAACACTTTCCCCACTCAAATTGCTTCAGGAAAACAAGCTTTCTTGATAAAAATGAAAATCATTTGGAGTGCTATGAACTGCACATTTGTGCCGCCCTCAGACCTGTATATTCAAATCCTACCCCCAAGGTACTGGTGTTAAGAGGCGGGGCCCTCGTGAAGTGATTAGGTCATAAGGGTGGAGCCTTTCCTATCGGGATTAGCGCCCTTACAAAAGAGGCCCCAGAGAGCCCCACAGCGAGAGGATGACCTTCTGAGTCAGGAAGCAGGCATTTGCCAGACACCAAATGTGCCAGCCCTTGATCTTGGACTTCCAGCCTCCAGAGCTGTGAGACGCAAATATCTGTGGTTCGCAAGTCACCTCCTCTAGGGTGTTTTTGTTACACCGACCCAAATGGATAAGACATGAGGTGAGTCTCAAAAGCCTTGCACAAAGGATGAGAAGAGCAAAAAGCCTAATAAAGCTCTCTTTCAACTCCTTCCCTCTAGCACTCAGAGAAAGGGCTGCTTCGAACAACGGGCAGGGAAATGCGCCTGGAACAATCTGCGTGTGTGTCGCGTCAAGATGCAGTTTCAGCTCGTCTGGCTCTGGGATCTGCCCTTCGGATTGGTGGAAGGCGCTTCTAGTGTGTCTGGGTGGGTCATGGAGGCGGGGCCTTCAGGCTTCCCAGTGCCGTGAACTGAGCAGCTCTGCACTGCTAAACCCTTCCGCCATGATGTCTCCCCTTGGAAGCAGCTGATTATGGACTGAAAGTGGGAGCAAATGAACCTCCCTTCCGTTAAGCCGTGGGTGTTGGTGCTCTGTCTAAGCGGGAGAAAGCCTACTGTTACACTTGTGAGATCACCCTTCCCTCTCCTCCTCGATTGGCAAGTGGCCTTTTGAATGAGGAGCTGGCACAACCCCTGGAGACCCAGCTTCAAATCTGGCCCTTACCCTGAAGAGTGCTCGTGCAGGGTCTCCTCACTGAAGCTAGTGAGCAGTCTGCGGTCCTTATAAGGTTCCTTGGCAGCTTTAGAAAGATCGAGCACTCCTACTCCTTGACTCTTCTCCCCCTTCTTTGGTCATTCTCTCCCAATCTTCCTAGCCCTCTGTCCCATGTTCTTTAGGGGGTCTTTTCCCATAGTGGTAGAGTTGTCTGTTTGTTCCATATTAGAAATTGAACCCGGGACCTCACACATGCAAGCAAGGGCTCCACCCCCAGCCTCTTTTACCTTGGTCTTCGTACTTTTCGTTTTATAATTTTAAAAAATACCTGTCAAGAATTATGAATGACCACCTCCTAGTCAACTTCTGCCTCATATTTTCTACTATTAAAAGGAAATCTGCTCCAAGTGAAGTTTTCACATTCATTCTAACAACATAAGGGTGAGTCGATTTGTAGATCTCAAAAGAACTTGCACCCCCCTGGGAACTGCAGTGGCCCCACAAGCTGACACCCTACTCCCCAGACACTTGCTCGTGAAAACCAGTGTGTCACATTAATGAGCAGTAAATCTAGTTGTGAATTGTACATTAAACTGTTTTATGTTTCCGCTCCAGAAATAATGTGATTAGGTTCTTGTAAAATATGTATTTCTTTAAGACCGACAAGACCAAAAGATTAACAGCTTCACAACCGAGTTATTGCCTCATGAAAACTGGCATTCACTTGCTTAGTAGATTTGGCTTAAGAATGAGGCATGATCATACCAAATTAGACAAAAAGATTTAACATTTTCGATTCCATGTACATAATACAAAGACATTTTCTGCATCAATATTTTTGAAGGCAAAGTACAGAAAGCCATCAAATATCAAACAAGACACAGGCCAAATATTTTTGCAATGGAATCCAGGACTGAAGATTTAGTTTTGGCAAAGCTAGATCATCTATCACATTATACTTCCTTGGATACATCACTTCCGTTGCTCTTGTTTATATTTCATCTTAAAATTGGTTTCCGTTGTATAGCTGCCTGAGACTATTATAATAAGAAGTTTTACCTTTGTACTATTTTAGTGACAAAATGGTAAAACTAACTTAAGGGAACACTAAGATTCCCATGGAATGATTTCTCAAGCTTGGAAAATGCACCTTAGGCCTATGGCCCACACCCCCACATATACCCATTTTGAGCTGTTCACTCAAAACAACTCACACCAAGTTCACCAAACATGACTGAAGTGGTTTAGACCCAAAGTCCTTCAAGAGTTTTACATGTGGAAGGTGATTAAATTAGGGGGCACTATACTCAGGGGATTCAGCCACTTATATATTCAGTAGCTGAACATAGTGTAAGGAGTGGAGGGTCTGGTTGGAGGTGGGTCACTGGGGGTGACCTGGAAGAGTGCATTCTTGTGTCCCTAGTGTCTCTCTCTCTCTCTCTCTCTCTCTCTCTCTCTCTCTCTCTTTTCCTGGCTGACATAGGATAATCAGCAGTACTACACTGGGGGGCCTTTCTATCATGGACTAAACCCACTGAAAACTGTGAGTCAAATCAACCTCGCCTCCTTTAAATCGTGGGTGTTGGGTATTTTGTCCCCGTGATGGGAAGGTGACTAAATCAGCAGCCTACTTCAATCACTTTCTTGCCTCTGCCCCTTCCTCTACTTCTTCACCTTATTAAACACTACTGGTTCTTTACACTTCTATTCAAGAGCTGGAAGTTTCCCCTGAACCATCCCCAATCCCACCTTGCCTTACGCTTGAGTGACTCAGCTATCTGTCCCGTGTTCCTCCCTCCATGATTCTGTAGGGAAACGCTCCTCAGGCTGTACAGTGATCCTTGATTTGCATGGATGTCTTTCTCTGAACACCATATCCTCATTCAATCCTCCCGGCAATCACAATCACAGAGGCAGAGATTGTTATCTCTCCACTTTAGAGGCTCAGTGAGGTAATGTAATTTACTTAAGGCCACAGAAGTACTAAGCAATAAGGCTGAGTTAAATCCAAATTATACACTCTTAAGCTTTTGCTTTTGCTAATACACAAGGCCAAGTACATATCTGTTTCTCAAACTCCAGGAGCTGAGAAAAAAATACATAGGAAAATTTGTAAACTTACCTTTAGCTTTTCCTTGAGAATTCTACTCCTTTGTAGTTTTATCGTTTTGTTTCTTTCCAAAACTGCCTCTCGCTGATTTTCAATAGCTCGCTAGGTTGTGAAAGAAAATAAAACACATGCAAAGAAGCTAAGGTTATCAAATGACTCACATTATTTTGGCCTTCAGGCTGTCAAATACATGCATATGAATATTATATAGCATCTATCGTAAAAAGTATTATTGTAAAATAACCAGTCCATACTTACACTTCCCACTTTTCTTTCCCTGAAATGAGATTAGAAAAATGTCATGATTACTGAACTTTTATTATACGTCCCAGCAGCCTCCTGACTTTTTCTGAAAACCACGTCTCTGTACCTTTACATGAGCTCTCTTCGATCCAATGCTCCCTTTTCTGATCCCCGTTCAGGGTCCATGGGGTGGAGGGGTAAATGCCTTGTTTCTCAACAGTGAACCAGCTCCTGCATTCTGAAATTTCCTGTGACCTCCCTTCCCGTCCCATTCAGAAGGCAGCCCTCTCACCCTGGGTTCCCATAGCACTTTGCTTGTCCCTACCCTGTGCCATTTAACTCTCCTTTAGGCCAGGAGCTCAGAAACTAGACAATCTGCAGCCCCTACCGCAATCCGAATCCAATTTCATGATGTTTCGTATCAGCATTGGCAGCAGAAAGGATGAGTTTGAGATATCAACTCATGGTAAAAAGTGGGGTGGGAAGAAGCTGACATTCCCATCGGGATCATGAAAGCATGTGAATTCTACACACCACGGTCAGACTAGCGCTTTTCTGGTGCTGGGGGAATGGTAGAGGGGACTGGCTACAAAGCTCTTATGAGAGCAAAGAAGTGTCAATAATGCTGTGTCTCATGACCACAGGTCCTCTGTGCCCTGCACAGCCCAACTCCCCACTGCTGGTCCTCTGCTGGCCTCCCTCACCCTCTCAAAGTTGTGCCAACATGGAAGCTAAGTTAAGTTTTCTTGTTACTCAGGGGGCAGCAGAGATCTAAGTAGAAAGCACCATCTGCTAACATCCACTAAGCTCTACAATGCTTACCTTTCATTATTAGTTACTAGACTGTGACTCTGAGAGAATATTTTACTTTGGCTAACATTCTAAACCTTGGAGGATCTTTTTCAGATGAGTAAAAACAAAAAAGTCTCAGCAGTAGACTTATCAGAACTAGAACTTTACACTTCAGAGCTTTCCAGACCACACAGTCGTACAGAATGCAGCTTCCAGTGGTGGATCAGCTACAGTGTCAGATCTGCGGGGCAGGGGCCACACTGCACCATCTGTGTGTCAGACAAGTGAGTGACACCCCAGAGCTGTGTTGAGGACAGCAAACTAAGCAGCTCCCTGGCAAGGGAGCCACTTGTCTCAGATTTCTGAGGCCACTCACCCAAGCACCCTAAGGTCCCAGGCAGTCACCCAAGCTTCTCTTTCATCCCCAACAGTCACTTCCTGAAGCCCGAAATGACATCAAGTACTGGCATTCGTGTAGTCGAGACACAGAGAGAAACGTCGCCAGAGGGAACCCACATCCCTCGCGCGCAGCACCATACCTGAGGTACTCCGGCAGGTTGAGCTTGTCAGCCTTGGTGACCACCAAAGCAATGTCCTTGCAGAAGCCGCGCTGGCAGGCTTTGATGCTCTCATTCAGAAGGTCTTCGTGGGCTCTTCCCCCGGAAACTCTCTCTACGTCGCTGATCACCCAGATCACCGAGCACTTATCAATGGTCTGCAGAACATGCCCGGGGTAGGTGTTAGAATGGGAAGGGAACTCAGTCCTGGGGCTGCCTCTCCCCTGAGTCCTATAACACATGGACTTACCTACCATGGGACCTGAGTTACCACCCATGGCCAGCTCTCGGCCCCCGGAAGGCAAAGGGCTGTCCGCACCTCTCATCTCAAACTCCAGCACCTCAAGCACAATGCTTGGCCCACACTGAGGCTCTCCAGCTGTCTCTGGAGTGACTGATTGGTGGAATTCTCCAAATCAGTCCCCTGATCCGTGATCTGCCACTTGCTTGCTCACCTCAGTTGTCCTCTAGAAAAAATAACTGTTTCTGAAGAACTGGTTTTGGTTGTGCGTCTACCCCAAACTATCACCCTCCAGCATCCTTTTGATGTTTTTTGCTGCATGTTGAGCACACAGCCGTGTGGCAGCAGGGAGCCAGACAGCCTATGATTCAAGTTGCAGGGGCCACTGAACATGAAATCAGCACTTATTAATAGCATAAATATTGCTTTATTAAATATGTAGCTTTTGTGTATGCAATAATCATGCATTTCCCTGTGATATTTTTCTTGTGTTGCTTTTGTTTTGTTTATCTTATTCCCTATAAAGGAAAAGCTGGTCCAACTTGGGGATTGAGCTTACTGGTACTTTGCACGTGAAGCTGTAGCAAGTCTGTGACTCGACAGTTAAATCATTATTGTGCTTCACACCAGCAGTGTTAACTAGTGGAGATTTCGTGCCCCAGAGGATATCTGTCAATATCTGGAGATATTGCTAGCTGTTGAAATTTTGGGGTGCTAGTGAGTAAAGGCTAACTGTCCTATAAGCCCAGAATCGCCATCCATAACAAAGAATGATCTTGCCCCAAATATCATGAGGTTGAGAGACCTGATAATACAGTGGCGAGTCTCAAACTTGTTTTGCCCATGACCGCACACTTAGTGAGTGGCAGCTTTTCAACTGAGAGCAGCAGGTTTTCTATCTACCACTCCCTGCCCCTAGGATGTCCCCTTGACCCCCTTCCTCTACAACAAAGCAGTTCCAGCTTCCTTTCCCTTACATACCTAGCTCAGAGTAAACACATAGAGAAGAACTTCAACATATAAACTTGATTTCAGACAAATTCATCAGCTGCCTAGTTGAATTTGGAATGGGAGATCTGGAGCTGCCATGTGCTCTGTGCCCTCAACCTCTCTCTACCCACAAATCCTTTGACCCCATGGATAATTGTTTTAAAAGCTTTTGTTCCATGCTTTGGACAAACCCTTTGAACCATGGAGAAGAAAACAGGCCCCGAAAGGCAGAGGGACTACTCAGTGTCACCCAACTAGGGATCCTGACCCTCCCCTATTTGTGAGTAGACGCGAAAATAAGAACAGTTGTGTTCTCTTGCTTCTCAAATTATAGAATCAACTCAGAGAAACACTATGCTTTTCAGCATCCACAAGGGCAGCGACTATTCCAGCAGGTGTGGAGGGCAGGGGGGAATAGGTGGGAGCTTCTCGGGGGCAGGGACTCTCACCCCCCATGAGGTCTTGGTGAACTATCAATGCTTTAAAAAACATACACTGACTGGGAAAGGGCTGCAATCATTAAGATTGCAGGGGTTCGACTTCAGGCCCCAGCAAAGCTCCTGAATGCCAGGATTTGGTACAGTTAAGGTGGATGGAAGACACAAAACAGTGAGACCAGCTGGACCCCAGAGTGGGTGGGATGGCACCTGCCACCTCACCCCCACCTTTCCCAGGATGACAAGGGGCCTTGAAGGGGTTAGAGAACATGGCAAAAGTCGCACAACTCCTAAGTTGCCAGTCAAGGATGTCTGGTCTGTTATCATTTTTAAGGATGCAGAGTTGGCGGCCAGCTAGATGTGTCACTGTGCTTTCCTCTCCCTGGAGGCAGGACAGTATTCAGTGACTGCTAGTGAGAGGCTGTCGTGAAACCACAGGAATGCAGGAGTAAGGGCCAAGCCCAAGCCTCGAGCCAGCCGCCCTCCTCAGAGCGTGTTTCCAGCCAGATCTGCTGGCTTTGATGAGCTGCCCGGTGTATCTGAACTGTCTGGAACCATGCTCCATCCAGGGAAGGGGCCTGGCCACCTCCCCAGGCTGCCTCTGCCTGGAATGAGCCAAGGTGGGTGGTTCCACTCCCAGGACTGGGACCCCAGCACAAAATGAGGCTCCCATGGCCGGGCCTGAGCTGGCTGACCAAGGCAAAGGATGCTGGGATGGATGGGAGATACTTTCAAACCTTTTCAACCCTAAGCATGTCTTTTCCTTGTCTTTATTCCTTACACAACACAGCACAACTGATTACATACATTTGTGCCGTTTGAGGTATTATTAGTCATCTAGAGTTATTCCAAGTACACTGGAGGACACGTGTAGGTTATATGTGAAAATACTACACCATTCGCACAAGGGATTGGAGCATCCAGGAATTCTGGTAACCACAAGGGGTCCTGTAGCACATCTCTCAACGATCCCAAGGGGTGGCTGTATGTGATTCCTAACACCAGGTCACAGCACTTTCTCAGCCACTTAGCAATGAGCTTTACTGTGGAAGGAAATAGTGGCTATTAAGAGCAGAGGTGTCCTGACAGGGCTACGATCTCAGTGTTATAAAGTTCAATTTACTTCACTTACAACAGCACCTAAAACAATTCAGTAAACGTCTGCTATTATTATTGTTGTTGTTGTTGTTGTTGTTAGCTATAATCTTTGCATTCTCGGCACACAAGATACTATAGGTGTTCACTAGAGGTACAAAGAGATACATTCTTAGAAACACCTCAGCCTCTGATATAAAGGTGCAGACTAGAATCCCCTAATGTTTAACACCCTGGCCCACGCCTCGGGGGCAGCCAATTCAGCTCACACCTGGGAGATGTCTGAGCGTTCTGCTGCTGGGAAGTGAACCCATAACCGAGCCTCCGGCTGAAGAGATCACTCAGGTCACCACCTTTGGCCACAGCTCATTGGGGTAGAGATGGACACCTAACCTGGAGAGGATTAATGCGCTAAATGGGGCAGTAATCTGTCAGATCTCCCCCTCTTAGGAATTTGTGCTAAAAGACATAAAACTGGACAGTGGTAGCCCATGAACTGCAAGCTCATTTAGAGGCAGGGCTAAGATGGTCGTTTTTGGCCATGAGGATCCATATGGCTAAGAAAGCTAAGGGAGAAGCCAGATTTGTGAAGAGGGGAGCAGAATCACAAGAGGCCCGCAGAGGAAGAGGCGGGAGCAGCTCTTGGATTATGACGGGTGAGCCTGAGGTCTGGTTGTGTCTCGTGAGATCCTTCGGTGTCCTTTCCACAGCCCCCTTTGGCTTGGTGTCACCTCTGCAGGCTTCCGTTCCTTACACGTGACTCGGCTGCAGCCCGTGGGCCCTTCAGTGATTGGCTGCTCTGCTTCACACCCTCAGCGTCCGTGGCCTGTACCGCTCTGTGCTGCCTGCTCTGCTTATCCACAGGCCCTTCCCTCACTTCACACACCCTTGTTCCAGCTACCACGTCGACACTCCGATTCCAGAGCATGGAAAGCAGAAGGATTTAATTCCAATGAACTCATCAAATCCCTGGGCTAAAGCAGAACATCCCGTGTTGCTTGGAAAAGAGGGAAGAGCTGAGGACAGAAGGAATGTAGCCCCACGAAAGAGAATCACCTTTTTCCACATCTCATCTCTCTTGCTGTTGAAGTCGCCTGTGCCCGGAATGTCCACCAGCACCACCCCTTCCGGAATCAGTGCAGACCTGGGAAGAGTCACTTCTATGTGTTTGATCAAGGGCCAGATTCGCGTCTCGGCTGACTCTTCAACCCCATCTATCTTCTGAGTACGGATGTAGGGGTCTAGCTTGACAGACAGCTCTTGGGCCTGAGGAGGAGGGACACAGTCACGCATAATAGCCACCCTCCCGGCTCGCTTATCCCGGGCTGGCTGGGCTACCGGTGACAGTGCTGATGGTGACAAATGCCTGGACAATGGGGTCAGGAGGCCCAGGATCTGCTCTGCCAGGGCCTAGTCCTTGAGAGCCAGGAGGGACCTGTGGATCTTGAAGTTCAAGATCCTTAACTTAGAGAGGAAGAAACCCGAGTCAGCTGGAAGGGGACTTCAGGAAAGTCATAGCAGCACTGGATAATAAATGTACCTTCTGACTCCACAGGGTTCTATAGATAACATAATGAACAGGAACTTTTCTAAATTTTGTAGACAGTGGATTCTTCCCCCATGGCAAATGTGATCATTTTAATGATCAGAAATCCAGCCACTACTATTTAAAAAAATCAATAGTCATACGGTCACTACCTCTTTCAAAGTGAGAATTAATTGGGAAATTGATCTTTGGAAATGTTTTTTTAACAATAAAAATGTTTTTTAAATTGTACTTGGCTTTTTCAAGACATTTTAAGAATAGAACATGGGGTAGAGAATTGCTCTCCGCCTCCTGTTCCCGCTTAAACGTATCTTGGAACAGTGACACATTCATGTGAGCAGCTAAGGTGTGAATCTCAACTGGAGATACTTCAGAGGATGGAAGATTTGGGATCTGTGGTGCTATTGTTGGTAAATATCTATAGAATGATCCTGAAAGAAAGACTGCAAATTTTTAAGAGTGTTTAGACTAAGCTGGTGGGTTTAGTGCAATCAGCATACAGGGTAATGGAGTTCATCAATTCTAATAAAAGGACAAATAGTGAAAGAAGAGACAGTGTAAGTTCTTTAAAATAATTCAAAATAGAGCAGATAAGGTAAGAGTGAAGTGCAGGAGAGGCATGGGCTTGAAAAGCTTCTTTCTACAAGAAGAGAGCTCAGCAGCAACCATCATGAAGGAGAATTTCATTCTCAAATTTATAAACCATAAATGTGAACTTGTAAATGGTAACTCTACTTCCTTTGTCTTGATAGGTAAATTTTTAACACTGGGGAAAATATTTCCAAATACAGAGATGGCAAAGAATTGAGTAGGCTATCGAAATCTTTGTCTAAGTTGTGTGTAATCAGATGAAGTAATGAGTGCTGTAATCATTTGGCTATGATTAGTCTGTGGTTTTGGAAATAAGAAAATCATCATTTTAATAGCAATATCCATGTAAATATAAGAAATGGCTACTATAAGCCAGGCATGGTGGCACACACATATAATACCAGCACTCTGAGATACCGGCACAGGAGGATTGGAAGTTCAAATCCAGCCTTGGAAATTTAATAACTTAGCAAGAACCACATCAATAAAAGAAGGACTGGAGATGTAGCTCAGAGCAAAGGCCCTAGGTTCAATCCTCAGAACAAAAAAAAAAGCTGCTGTATTTGTTTTACTCTTTAGACATTTAAGAGATAGCTGAGTGCTTTGAAAAGGTTTCATTCACTTGATTTTCAAGGTGCTTTTTAAGTATTTAAAATATTTTGAAAGAATCAAACGCATTAAACTATATAATATAAATTGTCTAAGGAAAATTAATTATGTAAGTAGTATTACATGTTTAAGAAGGACTTGTTGATCAGGGGGCAATTGAACATTGCATTTTAGGACAAATGTGAACAGCTATTTTTATTTCATTCAAAACTTGCCATATTTATGAATAGAATGACAAATTTTTAAAGATGAATTTTTCAGAAACAAGTAGGTTTTTAAATGCATAGTGTTTCCTTGTTTGTTTGAAACAGGTTCTCAGTATGTAGATCCGGCTGGCCTTGAACTCAGAGCAATTCTCCTGCCTCAGCCTCCCAAGTGCTGAGATTATGGACATGTGCTTCCAATACTCAGCTTTTAAATATACATTTTGAATAAACTGAAAGGTGGTTCCACAAATATTTTGTCTTAGTATAGAAATTGAATTTAACTTAAGAAGAATATTGATTTTAAAAATGAAAACAGTATCATCCCACTAGTTGCCCATTCTGTCCTTCATCCCTCTCAGCACAGTCCTGACTTTTGGTGGTCTGTGTGTCTGTCTTTCTGTCTGTCTGTCTGTCCACTGTGGCAGCACAGTGAAGTTGGCTTAAGCCAATCATGACAAGTCTGGTTCTTGCCTTCTATAGAACCCTTTTCAGCTAGGCAAGGACATGTGGCTCCTTTCTGAACAGAGAAATCTACAGTACAATTATTTGTCAAGGGTGAAATTTTTACTTCCTGACGAAAGGGAAGTTGTGGTTGGTGCCAGCTTTCATCCACTTCCTCTTCCCATGAGGCCAGCTATGACATCCAGCATTTAGTAGCAACCTGGCACCATGAGGCAGCAAGCACAACAGAAGACCAAGGGGACCCAAGAGATGTTGATCCTGACCTTGTTGAGCTACTCAATCAACCCCAAACACCTGCTGCCCAAAATTCTTATGAGAAAACGAATCAACTTCTATTTGGTTAAGCCATTATATGTCTCTCTTGTCACTTGCAGCCAAAAAGTTGCAAATTAATGAATTAATCTTCAACTAACTGAAGTCTTTTCTGTGCGTGAAAACTTCTCCATTTTCTCTAGAAAATCCAAACTGACAGCCATAAATAATGAAGGATAACATGCATCACGGGTAATTCTCATTTGGGTACCAGTTTGTTTCTAGTAAAAATGTTGTGCCTTGGGCTATGCCCCTAAATAGATTCAGCCACTCCTTTTAAGACTCATAGTGAACTGAAGAAAATAAAATCTTGACGGTACCTCTTCCGCCTTGAGGGTGATGATCCTTGAGGTGGGAATCTTCGCCCTGGGCTTTGCCCTTAGTAAGTCCTCATAGTTCTTCCTTTCGGCCCCTGTTCCATAGACCATTTTCAGCTTCCAGGTGGCCTCCTCTATGGCCTCATCCGCATCCCACACATCCGCATCCGCATCTTCTCCACCAGCCTCCTCCATCCTGTGCAGGAGTTTAGTCAAGTTCTTCAGCTCCTCTTTCCATTCCTGCCCAGAAAGAGCAGGGCCAAGCCCCTCGTGACACAAGTGGAGAACAGAATAATGAAAGAAAGGATATGCTGCACTGGGTGGGAGGGCAGGGACTTCCTGTTCACAAAGCTATGGCCGACTCCTCTAACCCCTTGCTTTGTTGACCAGGAGACAAGACCCCAAAGAGAGCTAGGGCAGGCCCGGAGTCTCACAGAGAGCCGCAACAAGGCCTTGGCCGGAAATCCCCCACTCTACTCAGCTTGCTCCTTCCTGATGCTTCTTTTCATTCACCAAGGTTGCGAGATAAATTTATAAGGGATGCGGTGTTAATCTCTAGGAGAGAGTGAAAAGGGAGCAAAGACAGAAAGGGAGAGAAGAAGGAAAAGAGGGAGAGAGAGAGAGAGGGAGGAAAAGAAAAAGGAAGAAAGAGAGCAAAGGAGGGAAGGAGAGGAGGTAGGAAGGGAGAAGGAAAGGAACGCTTGCCTGGTCAGACAGAAGGTGGATTTTCGCTTTGTACTGCTCACAGCAGCCGGAGCTCACTTGTACAACACAGGAAGTGCAGATGCTATCTCCAGAGACTGGGAGAAACATTGCCTGCTGGATGATGGCGTTGATCAGGGAGCTCTTTCCAGCCCCAGTGATTCCAAACAATCCAACGTAGATTGGATCCAACGACGGCTTTTCAATCATGGTAAGAAGTCTGTTTCTGTGTCCATTTTTAAAAGCACATTGTTATGACGATCAAGGTATAGAAGGAAGAACATCAGAACAGGATTCAAAGGAACTGAGTTCTAATCCCAGGCAAGTTACAACGGTCTTCCAAGTCTCTAATCCTCTCCGTGTCAAAGAGGAACATTAATCCCTGTTTCCTACACAGAGTTGGCCTGGGAGCAAATGAGACTATTCAAAGATACTTGATAAAGATATTTTATGCAAATTTTGTACGGTCTACATAGATACAGTCACACAGCACTCCCACTTGTGTTCTGTGGAAATTGCAAATTCCTGTCTCTAGGAAAACTTTTGCAGAGGTAAAGTAGTTTTGGGAGCAATCCACGCCTTACTGAGCAGGAGAAACTGCAACCTCAGCACCAAGTCAGTTGGGCGTGGAGTTAGGGACGATAGGGTTAGCTTCCGTTTCAGTAAAATGAGATGACCTTATGGGGTGCTGGCAGGACAAAAGGAAACTGGACTTGGCAGATTATTTGGTATCGGTGACAACAATAGATGGCAACTGTCAATAATAATGGCCCACAGCTACAGACAAAGCTTCTTTGCTTTGTTTCTAACCAAAAACTCCTTTGCAGTGTGGGGGGAAAGCACCTCAGTCCAGTAGGGAAAGACACTGCCATCCAACGTGAGAATAAGGATTTCAGACTCACATGAGATACTTGACCCCATTAGGAATGCTGTCATCCAGGAAGACGGACTGAATTAGCTTCTGGTAAGTGTTGCTCAAAACCCTTCTGGTCCGGGACTCCAATTTTTCATCTGGAATCAACAGAAGAGGATTAGCTGGGGGTACAGGGAAGAGATCGCACCCTGGTCTCTAAAGGAGGGGTCTGCTGCGTGTTGCAGAGAGGGGAAAGGAGAAATGACACGAAAAGAAATGACACTCCAGAGCAAGTTATCTGATGCTGGAGAAAATACCGCATTAGAGACCCCAGCGTTGTTCTGACCCCTCCAAGGGGCCAGTCCGCTGCTCAGCTCCTCACGACGGGAGTCGTCCTACGCTCTGTGGTGGGCTTCAGCCCCGTCTGGTTGCTCCTCTCCTCCCCGTGGTCGGAAGACAACACACGTACAAAATGCAAGGACACCGTACAAGCACGCACTGAAGGGCCAGGCTGACCCTTTTCCCGCCTCAGTTCTAACCAGGAAGCGGTTGTGTTGAGAACAACTCTCCTGCCCAGAGAAGCCCGGAAGCTTCCTATCAAATTCCCCACCTCTTCGGAGACTTGGAGGCCTGCAGAGGAACTGGTTCATTTAGAGACGTTTCAACCAGCTTTGGAATTTGACTTTCTCCCCCTCGGAGCATTGGAACACATTTGGAAAAGACTGAGCCGGTTAGAACAAGCCCGCGGGGTTTCAGGATACTCACATTCCTTGAGCGCGCTCTGTTCCACCAGCGGAAAAGCTCGGAAGCGCTGCTCTCGATCTGATCGCCGCCTTTTCTTCATCGGCTCCTCAAAAAGATCATTGTCATCAACTAGACATAAACAGAGATTATTAAAAACTTAGAGGTCTGGGCTCTGTGTACCCATAGAAAAAGAACGTTGTGGGGTCATCCCGGTCTGTCCCCTACTTCTCAGAGTCACGGGACACTTTGTATTTGGTTCTAGAATGTAGAGTCCGGCAAATCTCCCCCGATGAAAGGTCTCTATTTGGAAGTCCCCAGAAGCCAACACAGCCGGACATTCCTCACCAAATACCAAGTTTTAGAAAATCAACCAACTGTGAAGAGAAAAGCCCAAGACAGGGCTGAGGATGGGGAAAAGACAGGCACTTTCACGTGAAGAAAGGACTGATAGAAGACAAATCAAGCCAGGTGTGCCTGAAACCCCATCTACTTGGGAGGCTGGGGCAGGAAGATCTCAAGTTCAAGGCTAACCTGAGTAAACTTGTGAGAGCTTTTTTCAAAATGAAAAGGTGCTGAGAGTGTAGTTCATGGCAGAGTGCCCTAGGGGAGGTTCAAACCCCAGTACCAAAAAAAAAAAAAAAAAAAAAAAAAAAAAAAAAAAAGACAAAATGCAGAGCAGAGGAAGACGGACCATGAAACTAGAACAAATAGCCTCTTCCCCCAAGCCTCACTTTCTTCACCCACAAAATGAAAGAGTTGATAAAAATATGAGTATTATAAGAGTTTTGGAAGGAACCTATAAAATGGATGCCTTCTGGAGATTAAATCACCCGAAGACACCAGCATCTTCTTCCTTACATGGCACAAATGGAAACCATAGCAGCAGTCTCCGTGGTTCTGCACCATCCCATTCACCAAGTGGCTTCCCGTGGTCACAGAATGAAAGGCACCAGGGCTCACAATCCCAAGGAAAATGTGTAACCAAATACTGTGCTCCAGATGGGTTTCAGGTGATGTTTGCCTGGTTAGAAAGGGGCACCCCAGATCCGTGGGGTGGAGATGCAGGCAGGCTCCCCAGAAGGCTCAGGTGGCTCCCCTCTGCCCAGTCTTGCACCTTCCAGTGCTGATTCTGCTACAGCCTGGAGCCAGCTCACACCCCGCACAGTACCCAGTCCGGAGCCCTCTACTTGCCCAAGCCAGAACCTCTGCCACCTCATTCATGCTGTGCAGGTGACAGAACCTGTACTTTCGACCTTGCTGTCTCAGACATTTTCATTTCATGACTGAGCTCAAATGAAGCAATCCACCCTGGCTCGGTCTCAGGACTGCACCAGAGTTAAATATCAACTGGGTGCTGGCTCAGGGCTGGAGCTGGACAGGAGAAGCGGGAAGGGAGGGAGAACATGCTACTTTGGCCCCCGGCTGCAGGCCGCACCCACCAGCCCAAGCTCCAAAAGGCATCTCCGATGCCAGGATTCTCCAGGACCCGTCTCTGGAGAGAATGGGCGGCCACTTGTAGCTCAGGGGTTCTTCCGGGTAAACAACATTTACATCGTCTCTCAGCCACATGTATAAAATAGGACACGCTCTTCTATGCGGGGCCTTTATTTCAACTTTATAAAGATCAGAAATTGGTCTGAGAAGAGACTGGATGCTTATTTCTCAACTAAAGCAAAGACTATGGTGTCTGGTAAAGCAGCAAGGTTTAAATATCCTCGATTTCCAAAATAAAAACCACCTGGAAAGAATGCATTTCATCTTCGATTCATACCACACTTGGTAGGGCTTTTCTATTAAAGGGCAGCTGGGATGTACTGACCTGAACATGACTCAAAGCTCTTATTTCCCTTTAATTGTGCAGTACCCACCTGCCTTTTCCAGCATTCTACGTGGAATTATCCCAGGAAAGAGCAGAAGGGGTGGACCGAGGTAGGGCCAGGACAAACTATGGCTGCTGTTACTTTTTGCTGCCACAAGGCGTCACTATTGACAACGGAGCCTCCCAGCCTGGCCTGGGACGCAGATTTGCAAGATGATCCCTGGGCTCTACATTCAGCCAAGTGGACACCAAAGTCGTGGTTCTTTCCATTTGCATTGGCAGCCACATTTCAAATGCTGACTTTCTTTTTTAAAAAAGGGCATGAAATCCCATAACCTTAATTCCTTAGTTAATTCATTTAATTATGAATAGGCTACTTCAGTTACTGTTGAAATAACTGGTATTCATTCACTATTACAAATTGCTTTGAGAAAGCAATGTCTGACTAAAGAACAAGGAAGCCTCTGACCAGACAGCAGTGATGGGCTCCACTTAACTCCATCAGGGTTACCTGGGGAACGCTCTGGACCCGCCAAATCCTCTATTTCTGCCATTTCCGGCTCTGTGAACTCCCACTCAGAAGAACCAGCCTGGAAGGACACACAAGGTACAGAGGAGAAAACAGCAGACATGAAATCACAAAAAGCAAGCTAAGGCTATGCAAATATCTGTGCTTTGTTTCCCTCACTAGGCCCTAAAAGGGCAGGGACAATTCTGACTTGTCTTCCAGTCTCGCGCAGTGCCTAGTACACTAGTTTTGGCTTAAATATGGCAAAGATCAATGTGGGATCACAGTTTTCCTATAATATTTGTGTCCCATTTGCCTCTGATTTTTAAGTAACTCGCTCTGAAGTGAGAAGAAACCTCTGGTGGCCAGAGCTGTGAAGTCAAGTTATACAGCTTTGCCAGTTTGGTGACATCAGTGTCCCAGACAGGTAACCCCTGAGCCTTTGTGCCCTGGATATTTACTTCCAGCAAGATCTTGGCAAGCGGCTGGAGCTTTCGGCATTCCTAGGGCTGTATGGGGAAGGAAAGATGCAGGAACTAGGTTCCCTGGACCTTCCTCACACCGCACCCCCACTGCAGCCACAGGACACCCCTGCTAGGGGCCATATGGAGCCCTGAGGTGTGGGGCATCAGCGGGGAGAGAGGCGGAGAGGCACAGCCCAGGAAATGTCGGTGCCGGCCTGCGTCCTGCCCACTGGCAGACAGGGAAGGAGACCCTGGACCCACAGAGACTGAGAACACAGGGCACTGCACAGACCGAATAGGAACTTGTGTCCTGAAGCTCCTTCGTCTCCACCCCAGAGGAGACTGTGAGGAGCATCCAGAGAGCTCACCCTTCTATCTGCTGTTTCTCTTGGGAGCATTCAGCCATGTATGTCCAAAACAGTCGCCAGCCCTTCTGAGATATGCAAAATCCCTCCTGACCTGTCAACCTCCGTTAACCCCACAGGCCATTAGTGAGGGAGACCGTGCCTTATTTGCACATTAACCCCAAGTTACAATGAAAACTAAAAGTCCTCAGTTCAAACAGCCTGGTACTCATAGTTTGGCTTGCAGATCTGAACGGCCCGAAGGCCTCGGTGCCTGGCATGCTTTGGTCGAGTGTGGTGCGAACCCCTAGCACATGCAAGGTCCTGAGCCCTTTCCCTCTCTGCCCCTCCTGCAGCCCTCACTCTGCCTTCCCACATGTTTCTCCAGGGTTTTCATGCTTCCCACACCATCGGTTCCCTTCGCCCTCCTCCCCCCAGTGAATTCCTCCTCTTCCTTCAAGTTCCTGTTTGACAGCTCTTCTGAGATAGGGTGCCTGAGGTTCTGGTCATTCCCCTGCATCCCCACTGCTCCGTGTGAACCCCTGTTACTATCATGACCCAGGTTTCTTTATGTCTGCTCCTCCTCATTGCACCGTGAGCTTTCTGAGGTCAGGGAACTGCATTTTTTTCAATGTCGTACTTCTATCAAGTCCAGTGATAGCAATAAATGAATGAATTAGAAGCTTTTAGGGAGATACCACACCAAAGGGGTTTTAAAAGCCAAATTAGAGCCAGGCACAGGGACGCTCACCTTTAATCATGGCACCTTGGGAAGCTGAGGCAGAAGGATTGCAAATCTGAGCCCATCCTGGGCAACTTAGCAACTTAGGGAGACCCTGTCTCAAAATTAAAAAATAAAAAGATGGGCTGGGGATGTAGCTCAGTGCAAAGGCCCTGGGTTCAATCCCTAGTATGGCATATATATTTTTTTCTGAGGAAGTTTGTTCTATTTTGGACAGTTTTGATTACAGTAGTCCCCCTTATCCTTGGGAAATGCATTCCAAAACCAGGTAAGCAAAGAGAAAAGAGAGGAAGATGAGATGTTATGCAGACAAGAATGTAGTAATGCCTGGCAATAACTTTACATGCGCAACAAGGAACTAACAAAGAGAGCTGATGCTCACTGAATACAGTAGCTCAATGAGCATTGTCACACAAAATATTAGGTGTTAAATCATCATGGTGTACCCTGCAGACAAAATAAAACACTTGGTCCTACTGGTGGCCAAAACTCGGTAGATCTTCAGGACAAATTGTGTTCCAGAATTCGAATCCCAGAAAGAAACAGTGGAGCTACATGAAGTCCAGAAAAATTAATTGACCAAGCTATGGCATTACTACCATACAGACATTGAGATTAAGGTCCTTTGACCTGAGGGGGATGGGGATCAAAGTGCCCTAGAAAAGTAGAGTTGAGAAAAGCAGGTTGTTCACTGAATTCTGGAAGTGGGCAGTGGTTTTGTCTTCTTTCAGGGCCTTGGGAGATTCAGTTTGACCCATCTGGCTTCCTTCACTCCACCACCAGTGTATGATGTCCAGCAGGGGTTGTTGGCATGGAGCTATCCAGGATTGGGTGAGGGTTAACTGCACGCAAAGAAAGCACCAACCTATGAGCTTTCAACTATAGTGGCATCCACAGTACCAACACAGGCAATGTGTGGATTCTAACTAAAATTTAGACAAAACGGAAATTACCTGAGATGGGATTGTAGAAATATGGATTTTGAATTCCTTCTACCACGTTCAAAGACTGAGAAGAAGGAATCGTTTCATTGTCAAGCCAAGACACTGGAAAAGGGAAAGGGATCGTTCACAAAAAGAATAAAGAAGTAGACAGAAAGAAATAAAAAGCCCTTGAAACGGAGGGCCTGCAAAACTGGGAGAGGTGGCTTGGTGGTTTTGATAGAGTCGTTGGGTTGAACTGAAGGATGCGGTAAAAAAGGCATAAGGCTGGAAATCGAGTATGGAAGCTTCACTTCTGGTTCTGTGCCAATCGAAAGTGTTACAGGCAGGTTATCACTCTGGACCTCAGATTTCCCACCTGTAAATGAAATGTTAAGCTCGTCCTTAAAGTGTGACTGTTCTCCAGCTTCAATGGGTGCTAGCAGATGAAAATTCTCATTGTGAAATGTCTCTCGTCATTGAAATGGACAATGTGCTGATGATTAGAGATTCTGAGTGGTTGAAAGTAACACATCTGAGGATTCTACAATGTCAAATCCATTGTCTTAGGGATAAAATGACCTATAGGAGCATAATCCTTTCTCAAGTGATGCTGGAATATGCTTCCCTCAAAAGGGAGGCAGTAATGGTGGTATATTTTGCAAAATTTTGGCTTCTTCTATAGAGAAGCAATTGAAAACAGCCCAAACTTACTGCTCGGATAGTCAAGGTTCCATATGTGTGGCTTATTTCACCCCTATTTCAACGATGTGGTTAGCACATCAGTTTTGATTTTAGTACTTATTTATATTCATTGCACTGAGCCCAAGAATAGCACATTTTAGGTGAGACTCTGCACAGCTAGTTTAGATATGGGAAGGCTCTGCACGGACCTGGTTTCCGGTTGAGTAACTTGACTTTTGACGGTTATTCTTACCTCTCTCACTTGCCCTTTCTTCTGTTTGTATTTGCTTATTGCTTTTCCTTACAGAAAAACAATGCAACAGTCATCTCTACACCATACTGGGACAGCTGCATAGAGTGGAAATAAGAACGTTAGGGCTGCTTCTTTTACAGATATGGACACTGAGGTCAAGAGAAGGAAAGGAACTCATTTAAGTTCACTTAGTAAGGTAATGGCAGTGAGGATGCGAGTTTCCTTTTCCTTACTGCAAGTTCAATGTTTTTTTTCATTACGCTAAGCAGCCTGTAATAGGTACTGCTTTAAGCGGACACTCTGGAGCTTGGGCATAGGAGAATGAACCCACAAATGAGGGTTCTCTCAAAGGTATGATGACAGCATTTCCTGGGAATGAAGGCTGTGCAGTAGGAGGGAGTGTAGCAACTTGAAAACACGAAATGGAAGCTACTGCCTGCAAACTCTAAGATGCACTCAAAGTAAATTGAGCCAGGGAGAGAGAGGGAAAGGGAGAGAGAGGGAGACAGAGAGAGAGAGAGAGAGAGAGGGAGAGAAGGGGGAGAGGGGGAAGGGAGGCGAGAGGGAGGGAGATCAGCGCATCATCATTGCATTTGTTCCGTGTTTGGCTCAGAACTGAATGTGTTTATCACATAGGACAAGAATCCTTTGTTTTCCCTTAGTTCTTCTGTAGTCAGAATCTCAGCTGTCTTGACTTGCCTCATTAAACCTTCCCGACATTGTTATTTTATTTTTATTTCCACCTCTGTCCTCTGTCCGAAAAGTAACACTAATAGAAAAAATAAATAAATGTGTAAATTAGCAAAAACTTTTAGGGGGCGTTTTTATCATTAACATTGGTTTAGCCCCTACTTTTAATACATATGGGAAGTGCTTAGTATACAGTAAGCACTGAGTAAATAGTCTATGAACGAATGGCATTTATCTTTTAAGTATGTCTTAGAGGGTAGGAATGATAATGGTAAGGATTATATATTTACTTTCTCCATTTGTTGGTTTCATCCACAAATGTTTGTTAAGAGTCTATGTGCACTGCTATTACGGCTGCTGGAGATACGGCAGGAGGAAAATGGGCAAGATGGCCGCCCCCACAGACTCAGGCTCCATCTGTGAATTTACGAGGAAATTACTCCGGATTTCAAGGTATTTGAAGAAGCTGTGCCATTGTCCCTGGAAATCTTTGGTCAGGTTTCATGCCCTCCTTTAGAGACATAGGTTAAAGGATGAGATGGGGAGGAGATTCTTAATAAAATGATGGGAGGCTGAGAAAACTTATCACATGTTTCCTTGCTAAGTTTTAGGTTTTGGTTTAAGTATATTTTCTAAGCACCCTTCTGAACATGCCACTGCTCTTCCCAACTGAGGATGTTCCCAAGGAGCATTTTAAACACATTAGCTCAGAAGCAAAAGGCGAGGCAGTGCCTCAAACCCAGGGAAAGAGATAGGCGTCAGCACTGACTCGTCAGCCAGTGTGCTGGATGCCACCAGTGTGGCTGCAGGGAAAGGAAGCCCTGGAATTATGTGTTTTTCAGTGACCTTCTCCTCTAGGTGAATAGAGGAGTAAATCAGTAGATTTTTTCATAACAAATTATCAGATTCTAACAAGATAAATTTTACTCTTCTAGTACTGCTCTCCTGA